TCTGTCCGACACTGAAAATCCGTTGTATTGTAAAATTCGTTATATCAAAATTCGTTGTAGAAAGAGTTGACTGTATAATGAATTTTTTGAATAAATATAATAAAAATACTCTTATTATAGTGAATTGGCCAATCAAATCTTTTAAAATCTTCACTATAGTCTTATAGCAAAGTTGAGGTCTAGAACATAGAATTTGTTATAATAAGAGTTGACTGTACACTTTAGTTTTAAAGGGATTTAATAAAGTTTCATTATATTTTAAGAAAGCTTAGCATTTTTTTGAATGAAATTAAAATGAAAATAATAATAAACCTTTTTTTTAATTTACCTTTTAAATTAGGATTCTGATGCTTGATTTAGTCATATAAATAATAATTTAAATTAGAGATGCAGTTACACTACAGCCTAAAATAGTATTTCTACTACTATTCTTTTTATTGGAAACTGTACATAATATAATTTTTTTTAAAAATCAGTATTATAATAATAATCATAAGAATGCAAAAGTATTATTAAAAAAGATATTGTTTTATACTTACTAATATTATTGATCTCAATTTTTCTTATCTAAAATTTTATTTAATATTTTTTTTTATTTTTTCAGATTTTTATTTAAATCAGTATTCTATTTAAAATAGATTTTTTATTTTTAAGTTAATAATTTAATTTTATGAATAATTAAAGCTTTTTTTGTAAAGTTATTTAAGTTTAATACTTTTTTATTTAAGATTACAAACCAAAATCTCTTTTTTTAAAATTAATGTTAGAGATGATTGAAAATTTGTATTTTAATAAAAATAATAAGAAAAACCTTATGAATTGTATTTTATGATATTGTTAAAATAGTAGATTTATTAAATTCTAAAATTAAGGTAAATAAAATATTTTTTTTATATTATATTATTTTATATTAGATAAATCCTGTGTTTTATAATTTTAAGCTTTATAATTAGCAAATATATAGTCTTTTTTAAATTTTTTTTAAAAAATTACAAAAAATCTTCATTTTTCTTAATAGATAATTTAAAATATAATTTGTTTAAAAAAGTATATATGATATAACCTGATAGTAATAACATCTAAGAATTTTCATTAAAAATATTATTTTGCAAATATATATAATTAGCATTTACATTTATTTGTTGAGTTTTTTAAGTTTATTATAAAAATTTTTTAATATAAAAAATTCTGACAGTTTTTTATAATATGATAATATTTTAAAATTAAAAGAAAAGTTAACTATAAATCAGCTTTTATTTATTCTCTGATAATTTGATATTTAGAAGGATTTTATTGATAATAAAATTATATTATTTACATGTTATATTGCTATATAGGATCTTTATAATAGAAAAAAGAAAAAACTGTTGAAAAAAATAAAAATTAAATTAATGTTAAATCTGAATATATTTTGACCTAAAAATCATATTTGATAAATAAAAGTAATATTGATTTTTTTTGGCTATTCTTTTTCTATTACAAAAGTTTTATATATTAATCAATAAATAAAATTAATTTATTTAAATAACTTGTTTTTTAAATGTATTAATTGAGTTAATATATATATCCAATTTTTGAAATCTCATGTAATTAATAAAATCTATCACTATACATATATAAAAAATGGTCAATATACATTCTATCTTTAATTTTATTATCTTATTAATTGGTTTGATTATTATTAAATAATAATAGAAATATTAAATTTGATATTGAATTAATATTAATTATTAATATTCTTAAATTTTAATTTAATTATTATATTATATAGATTTTTAGTAATATTAAATGTTTAAGTATTTATTTTATAATATTTAAAAATTTTAATATTTTAGTAAAAAGAAAAGGCAAAATAAAAATGTTTTAAATTAATATATAAATTTGAACTAATTTTACAAAAAAAAAAAAAAAAAAAAAAAAAAAAAATCATATTAGTATAAAAAGTAAAGTTCATATTTTTTTTTTTTTTTACATTTTACTTATAAATACATAAAATATAGAAAATTCATTGTATAATTTATTATCAAATTCAATAGATAATAATACTAATAGATTTATTAATATTATATAATATTAAATAATTAAATCTATTATTTTATAAAGGTTTTATTATACTATTATATATATAAAATATTATTAAAAAAAAAACTTTACGACTTTTATTGATTAAATTATTATAAACCTTGCTAATTTTATATTTTTTAAAAAAAATTGCGTATAATACATTGTATTGAATTTTATGTATTAGGAAATTTTTTTTTTAACTTCTGCATGAGCATCAGGATATTGTGTAGATACTTTAGTCTTCAATAACCTAATCGAAATTGAATAAAGTTCAAATTAGTTTGTAAAAAAATAAACGTTAGAATTCTTTAATATATACCTTAATTTTTTAAAAATATATTCTAAATCAACTTTCATTTCTTTAATACATTTAGAATGTGAATCAAGTTTCTTTAATAATTCATCATATTTTATATGACTGTGATCATTAAATGATGTTAATGATGTAGCATTTGATTCCAACATTTCATGACTAAATTAGTTGCGGAAATTAATAACAATCGATTAATTGATAATTTAAAGAACAAATAACGAAATCAAGGATTTGTTATATACGTACATTGAATTTTGGTTTTGAACAATTTTGTTTAAATCAATTTCATTCATCATTCCTTCCATTCTGTTAATTGTATACTCTGCACATATTTCATTAAATGGTTTTTCTTGCTCTGATATAGTAATAGTAGGTTCTGACATATTTACGAAAGTATATAATTAAATAATAAAATAGTTTCTTTCATAGTTTCATAGGAAAACAGCGACCTTTGTTTAGTGTAGCTTCTCGAATGGAGTACTTCTTCACTATCTTATACGAAGCGACAGATATTAAGAATAAACTTTTGACAAGTCACGTCACTACACTGAAATTATGGGGCGTAATTTGTGGAACTGTACATAAACTTAATTCAACTTATTCACATGATGTATTATGTATATTATAATTTTGCATTAAAAAAAAAAATTCTCTAAATAATAGCTTCTATTAAATAAAAGCAAACATTAAAAGTTTTCATTTTCTAACTTTCAATTCATAGCCCATATCAAATTAAACGTTCCGGTAAGAATATATTAGCAAATATGGTCGATCAATAACATTGCTTACATATGATTTTTTTGTGTTATTAAAATTATGATGCATTATTAGTAAAATTATGGGTAAAAACAATTTAAGAGAATAATTCTCGCAAATCTTCAAGCCGTTGAGCCTTCATTTCATCTTTGGACATGCCTAAACCACAAGCAATTGCATTCTTACGCTTCTGAATCGAAAGCATCTTTTCTTCAATAGAATTCTTGATAATGAATCGGATAACTCTAACTTCAGTTTTTTGACCAATACGCTAATAAATAAATAATTATATTATAATTAGTAAATTAGTAAATTAGTAAGCTTAAATTAAAATAATGTAGCATACATGAACACGATCAATCGCCTAAGAATTACGTAATTTAAAAGTTATAATGATATGTTAACCCTTTTGAATAATAAATGTCAAACAAACATAACTAACGATGAATTAAATACCTGATCCTCAATACTCGAGTTCCACCAAGGGTCCTAAATTTATATAGGTTTTTAAAATATATAAATAAATTATTTATAGTTCAAAAGATTGGGTTCCGAAGAATCGATTACTTACCATTAGGTATGCTCTGCTTGCAGCAGTAAGATTCAATCCTACGCCACCTATTAAATTCATACAGTAGGGAATAAATTTTATATTCTTGCTAATATATCATATCTATTATAGATAAAAGTTCTTCTTACCGGCACGCAAAGATATTAACATTATATCAATCCCAGTCTTTTTAAACTCTTTAAGAACAAATTCCCTTTCGGATTGTTGTTGAGTGCCGTCCAATCTAACAAATGTGAAATTTTCTTTTGAAAGAACATCGCCAACCAAATCCAACATTGATGTACTAAAATAAAATATTACATATAAATTGTTAAGTAATCAACCAAATCGTACGATAAAATACAATAATACTTTACTTACAATTGAGAGAAAACAACACATTTTTCCGTCATTTTATTTCCCTGCCGTAATTGATTTAGATGGCGTAATAGAGCTCCCAGTTTGGCTGAGAGTTTTAAGCTTGCATCATCGAATTCCATGGCTGCACCAGGTGAAGATGATGAGGCAATATTTTTATTATCACACACATTATCATTTTTTCTAACGATATCTAATAAATCATTTTCAGTAATTGGTCCACGACGACAGACGGGACATTGTCCTGATTTCCCCGAAGTTACTTGACTCTGTTAAACGAGATATAATTAATTAATAAGTTGCCATTAGGAATAACTGCACTCGAAGAAATTAACAAACCTGGAAATAGTTCATAATGCATTGACGGCATGCAGAGTGCATGCATGGCAACAAAACACCATTTACTAGATTCTCGTAACAAATTGGGCATTCCTTATTGGAAAAATCATCTCCATATTTCAATTTTTCCAACATTTCCAGCTGATAATTTGTAGAATGATCTTGTTCACCGTAGTTTGTCATAAATCTTTCGATCAGACGATCTATATTAAGATTTCCTTCTGCATCAAATGCTGAAAAATTCACACCGTCTTCAACAAAATCGTCAACTGAATTTTAATTATATAAGTTACGGTTAATGACTTTGAAAAGATGTTCGTTAAAAGAAAAACAATAAAGATACCTGTGTTTTTTGATTTAGAAATTGCAAGGATCGGATGATCGCATACTTGACGTAATCTATCAGGTCAAATTTAAAATGAAAAGAAATTTAAGAATTCATTCATTCATTCCTTCAATTATATTCTATCTTACCTGACTAATAATTGAAAAATGTGTGCGTAATGGCTTAAAACGCTTCCAGCTTGACAATAATAATTAAATTTGGTCTTGGAGTGCGTGTAAATAGAATCATAAATATCTTGCTCTTCCGGAGAGAATTCAAGGAATTCTATTTCAACATCTTTACAAGGTAAATCAATAATTGGTTGGCCATTTGAGTCTCTCATGTTCTTTGTTCGTCGTAAAACTAATGGTTCCAGAACACCTTGAACCACTCCCAAAGCGCGGATATCCTTTTTGTCGAATCTAGGGAAATCGTTATGTAAATAAACGATACAATAATAACAACAATAACAGTTATGACAAATTACAAATACTTACGGCGTTTGAATATATTTTTTCCAAAATTGGAAATTGCTCCATGGTTCGTGACGAAGAAAATGCACAAGAGAATAAATATCCTCAAGACGATTCTGAATAGGCGTACCTAAAGCATATGAGTCAATAATTTATAAGTACAAGTCATTCGATTCACACCGATATATTAGCTAAACTCGACGAACCGGTTAGAGCCCATCTTCTTTCTGCTCTTAAAGCATAGCAAGCCTTGGCTGTTTTTGTGATTTTGCTCTTGATTGTGTGTGCTTCATCTAGTACGATTCTAAAAAACTCAACTATAAAATCAATTACACGTGTAAGAAGAAGTTCGTTTTAACGCTGTCATCACAATTAAATTTAAATAAATTCGCACCATTAAACAATGGGGATGTTGCTGGTTTTCTTTCTTCATCAGTGAACTCCGACATCAAAACTCCATAAGTTGTGACAAGAACATCCGGTAAAATTGCCTTGCGACTTCTAATTGACTTCAAATCCCAATTTCTTTGCTTGCCATAATATAACTCAACGCTCAAAGTTTGTGAAGCGGATACATTTTTAACTTCATCACGCCATTGTGAGAGTAAACTCATTGGACAGACTATGAGTGTTGTCGCTATTGCCGGAAATCGTTCATATGTAGATGATGAAGTAGAGCGATGAACTGACTTTGACGATGAGGGTTTAGAATCCTCGGTCAAATCAACTATGTCACATTGATTTGGATCTATCGTGGGATATTTAACGGCATGGATGAGACTTAAGATCTCAATCGTTTTACCTAGCCCCATTTCTAATCAATCGAACAAAAATCGTAAGGTCAAAATATAAAAGAACAATCTATAAAATATAAGATAACTTATGATATACCGTCCGCTAGAATTCCTCCCCTACAATGATCAACCTTCTGAAAATCAAGTGATAGTTCACCTGCACAGTTAAATTAATTGATATTAGCAACTTTGATTTAATATTGATTTATTTGATATCAATAGAACAATACCTTACCCGTATAAGGATTAAAATAGAAGAACTTGTTTGGTTGGTCATCCGCAATTGTTTCTTCTGTGTCATCAGCTTGACCTGGAAACTCATATTCTTCCCACAAAGGATGCAATGATGTTGGCTTGGTTTGATTTGGATCGAGGGTTTCTTTCGAAAGCATCCAATGAAGAGCTTGTTTTTGATATCGTCTCAGTTTAAAAAGGAAAGTATGAGCTGGTGGTTCAGCTTCAGGAATGTTTAAGTCAAGTCTTTGAGCTTTTTCATATAACGCGTTCAATTGTTGGTCAGAGATATTTGATGACGTTTCTTCCTCCTCATTGTAGAGAGATTGATGGATAGACGCTGATCTGAAACCTGTCCATTCTTCATTTTGAAAATGTTCTTGAATTCTCTCTGCATCTAGGGTACCAGCTTGTTTATGCTCTTGTGTTAACACGCTCGATTGCTTGGCCTTTATTTTACATTGTTCAAACATGTACATGATGGCATTTTTTCGATCGGTAGCTTTATGTTCCGCCACGGAATTTGGACCTGTTATAATGAATTTTGTGTTCTCTCTTGAAAGAGAGAAAGTTGGCTCACGCGAAAACGCTGCGTACTATATATCAAATAAATCACAACTGTAAGACCATTTTCAAAAGGTTATACGGTATGAATTTCAATTTAACATACCAAAATATAAATCTTCATATCAATCAATATTTCATCATTAATTTCGATATTTCCATCAGCATCACCTATATATACTACTTCTCCCTCAAATTCACAAACTCCAGCATCCATCAAATTAGCAACCATGTAAGTAAGCTGCATATCGTCGATTATTCCAAGTTGAGTTCCATTCACAGAATTGAACCTCAACATGGTATTTTGCCAACAAGATTGTCTTGACCGTTTCCTTCCTCTGCTCGGTTTTTGAAAAAATACCTGACTTTGAAAAGTAACCTTATCACCAGATTTTATTAAACGTTCGCTCCTAACGGTTGATTGGCCGTTGACCAAGATGCTGCCAAGGTGCTTTCGTTTCCAGTCACGTGCGTTAGAATGCTTTCGTGTCCTCTTACTACTAGGTTGCTCAACGTAGTCTGGGGAGTAATTAATAGAATTTAAATTTCGACGCAAAGAAGCAGGACGAGGAGGTTCTGCCTCTCCATTAACCAAGTTTTCTTTGTCCATTTTGTTATCAAAATAGTTATTTACGGCTAATTCTAGGTTACCGCTGGAAGTTTTGAGCAAATTTTCCAAGACAGAAGGTGAGACACCGGTGCCCACCAAATCGCGAAAGTCGTTAATTAGAGTTTTACCAAGTGAAGGGTGAGAGTAGTCTATTTTGTCGGCTGTTGACGCGTCAAAGAGACTTTGACTTGAAGAACTTTGTCCTAAAGTAGAGGGTTCTCCGTTATTATAAAAATAATTTCCTAATGGATATGACATGGTTGCTTTTGAGTTTTTAAACAAGAGTCAAAACTTCAAACCTTTTATCTTTGTTGAGACGCAGCAAATTTATATGATTCGCGTCTCTATTAAATGATACCATTATTAGAATTATTATAGTAATCGATTTGAGAAGTAAATTGTGTAACGGTAACAGTGCTTTCACAAGACTACCATATATGAAATGATATGCGGAATCCTGCAAATACCAATGGATTTGTGCATATCTTGTTATCATCATGTGCAGAGATTTCAAAAAATCATGTGGCGCGTTTGTGTACAAAGATGTGATGTGGCAGTTTTTACAATGCGTTGGACGCGTACAAGCAGGTACCCGGCAATGTGGCCAAAAAAACCGCCACTTACACTAACTTTACATAAACCATAATAAGACTACTAGAGACCATAATTAATTATTTCTTTTTTGTTCAAAATTGTCAAAGAAAAAATTTATTAAAATTTTTTAACTATTACTTTTTTTTATAATATAGATAGTATTATTTAAAATCTAGTTTAATGGTTTGGTCGGAACTATCTTCGGAACCTTTAAGTCCACCACCTCCCTTTACAGAAACTGACCAAAATGATCTAGTAGGTTCTCCAATAATTTGAGCTTTTAATCCAAATTAAATTTTTTTTGTTTTCACAAGTTTTTTTTATTATTGTTGTTATTGATAAATCCTTGTAACGACGACTATGTTTTTAATAAATCTTTTTCCCTAGAACAGATTAACTCATGATAGAGCACCCGCTTACTCTTTTTATCCGTCAACCTCTGGTTCATGTTTTGAACTTCATACCCTTGGCAGCGTTCTTTATACAAAAGATAAATTTCTTTGTGGGGATATCCTTGACGACAGATATTTTCTCTTGGGAACTAATGCTGGCTTAGATTTTATAGATTTATTTCTTCCTTCCGAACAACAAACACCAAAAAGAATTATACATGATGTGCGGTTTAAGCAAATATCGGTTTTACAAACTGGTCGATACAGAGCTTTATTAGCTCTAGCAGGAAAAAACAATCATATAAGATGTTATGACTTATGTAGTTTGCGATTATTAATACGAAGTAAAATATCACGTCAAACGATTCAAGTTATCCCAAAAACGTCAACTCCTCCAAGGTCACCAGTAAGTCATGGAAGATCAAGATCCATAGATTTTTCAATTTTAGATCTAAATTCACAAAATATAGGAACTGAACTTCCCGATATACCATTAAGAAGGTCAACAACCTTGGATGACTTGGATATAATTCCCAATAATTACTCATCTGCAGCAAGTTCTTCAAGTTCTTTACAAGAAAGTGAAATAAATGATAATTCCTTTAGACCTTCAAGTCTTCCTTCACCTCGACATCTTCGACGACATACGCGACATTCTAGTCATCAGAATCCACTATCATTAATAACAAATTCTGTCGCTTCAGCAGAAGTACATGAAAAGCAACAAAATCTTCCCGTTCAATGGTCATCAGATTATTTTAAACTTCCTGGTACAAGGATGGCCCTTTCATTTGTTGTAAGAAATGGACCATTGAGAACGTACCTCGCTGTTTTATCAAAACAAAATATTTTCTTGTTTGAATTAGATTTTGGTGACGCAACGAGAGGACCAGAATTTTTACATACTAGAACTTATTGGTTACCTCAAACTCCGAAATTTCTTCAAATGTCTGTACATGAAGATCAATTAATTGATATCATTGCGGTCTTTCATACGGAAGTTATATGTATAGGCATTGAAGATGCACGTGTGAGAGAAATTTCAATTTCAGAAGAATTACGTTCCCCTGATTTAATTAATAATTCTTCAAATGATTCAGAAAATATGACTTGGCAAACATTTACACAACTTCCTTGGATTCCAACCCTTGATCCAGAATTTGTCTCCGAATGTTTTACAATTCCGCCTCCTTATAATTTGATCATAAATGAAGATCCTTCAGCAATGTTAAATCCCATACCGGTATTTGAGACGGGAAATATTGACTCTTTATTTTTTGCTACTTTTGGATCAAAGTCAATGATAGTTGATTCTAAAGGGAGACCATTTTCTACAATCGTATTTCAATGGACTTATCCACCTTTGCAAGTTGAATTTCTTAAACCTTCGCAGGCTGAAGGTGAATCTTATGTAGTTGGATTCGGTAAAAATATGGTTGAAGTAAGAAGTTTTAACACTGGAAGAATTGTTGAAAATGTCGTGAGGGGGGTTGATGTTGTTCATTTAGGTAGAGGACGAAATCGTGAAGTTATATGGGGATGTTCCTTTAATAAAGGTTCAAAAGGTGTATGTTTATATAAATTAGATGGCCCACGCAAATGATCCCCCCCTAAAAGCATATTAATATATTATAAAATTAAGTTAATTACTTATTAATAATCCTTAATTTACATAGTGTTTATATAATATTTTTTTTATTTTTTTATTTTATTTATTAAAAATTAAAAAAAAATATCATTTCCCTCTTGTCCCCTTTCAATATCAACCAAGTTTTTTAATTCTTTAAACAATTTCAATTTATCACCTTTTTGATAGTGAGAAACCCTACCACTTGTAGAAGGCATTGCAAATATTTTAGTGTATCCAGTGTCATCAGCCCAAGACATCTTTCTTTTTTGTAATCCAAATTTGAATGATAAAGATTTATCTCTATTTGTATTAGAAACTTGACATGATTTCTCATATGCTTCATACGCGCATTTGCCCACAAAGCATAAAATTTTTGGTTTGTACGAATCTACTTTATTAATAAGATCTGGTATTCCATCCCTCATTTCATTTTTGCTCAAATCCTTTAAAGAAAAATTTATAATAACGTGAGAAGAAGAAATTTGTAATTTAAACATTCGATAACTTACTGCCGAAGATCGACTTGTTCTGGAACAAACATTGATAATTCCAATTCGAAATCTGTTTGATAACTCGATATCATTTTCATAGTTTACGACTTCATAATTAGTTAATCCTAAATCATGAAATTATTCAAATAAAAATTTTACAAGATAAATTACAACACCAAAAAAAAAAAAAAAAAAACTTTATTATTACCGCTTTCAACTAAACACGGATAAAAGTGATTTGTAGGTCCAGCAAAATGATGACCACTTTGTGCGCTACATATAATGGATTTTTGAATTCGTGATTATGAAAATTTGAATCTAGTTCATTTGATTAAAATCATCAAGATCCGAAAGTGATACCTTTTTATACCAGGGTTAATCCCAACAAATAGAACTAAAAAAGAAACTTTTTAGCATATATTACTTATAATCTAAACGTTCTAAAAGGATTATCATGTTTTTAACGTACCCAACAAATTATGATCTATTACATCAAGTAATGCATTGTCAAGTGGATACTTCAATTCTTTAGATTTCGAATGTCTAGAACTCTCACGCTTTATTGTTTGTCGTGAATAAGGACCCTTACGCGTAGACTCATTACGAACTTTAGGACTAGAAATGATCCGTTTATTGTGATTATTCGTGGATTTCGTGCAAGTGAATCTTTCAACAAAAATTTTGAAATCTGAAGTTTTCATATTATTAATTCTATTATCACTATTCTTTTTACTATGTATTTACTATTTATACAATCAGCAGACATCGTCATATTGGTTCATACCGCATGATTGTACATTAATTTCTTACAAATATAGGAATAATATAATGATTTCATTAATTCCTCGTTTTAGAATTTTTTATACAATGGAAAAACAAACACCAACACCTCCACCACAATTTACAACTCTTGTTGGTTCACAATTACCTCGACTGCCAACAGATCATGAAAAAGTTTTAGATACACTTGAAAATGATTTTAAAAGAATGGATAAAATGTTTGCTAGTGGAGAAATGAGAGTTTTCGGTAAAAATAAGTTGAATTAATTTATGATATTTTATTTTATAATTTATTTTAATTTATTTATAATTTAATTAGGAAGGAATTCTGACAGTATATTTAAAGAATTGGATTTAATACGTAGCAAACAAATTTCTTTAGCCGTTGAACATATATCTTTAGAAAATTTACCAGACAAGGAGATGTAAATGTTTTTATCCATTTTTAAATTACTTCAATTCCAGATACAGACCCGTTTAACTTTTTAATTAATCATTCAGGCCATTAGGAAGTGGAATAACTGAAGATTCCGAAGAAAATTTTAAACGTAATTCTGAAAGATTTGCAAAGAAAGAACAAGATTTAAATAACTTGATGGCAAATTTAAATAATTTAATGGGAAAGGTAAATGAACAAATCAATAAATCAATTTTTCTTGTTGTTATCACGAATTTCTGATTTAAATAATTTTTTAAGTTGGAGGAATTAGGACAATCGATGAAAATTTCTGAGCCAAAGACATAATTTTAATAATAAGTTTTGTCTACCTTTTTTAAGAAAACAACTATAAAACTAAAAAAATAAATAAAATAAATAAGTGATATTTTATAATTTTCTTACCTTATAAATAATCCATCCTTAAAATCATTATTAATAAAGACAAGTATGTAATAAGAGCTACACCTCCAGATAGTACAACATATCCTCCGCTCGTGACAAATGGTTTACTATTATCAAAGACGTCTAAATTATATCGCCTTCTTAAGGCGGAAATACATAGCATCCCACCTCCAAATGCTATAAAGACCAATCCAACGCCATAAAATGATTTATCAAATATGCGGAGAATCACAAGCGCAAATCCAAAAGATGATAGACATGTTCTCCAATATGCCCCTTCAAAGGTCCGCTGCCGCGCTATTGTGACGAGAGAGAATTAATAAAATTATGAAAGATGAAAAAAAAAATTTTTTGATTCACATTTTAATAACGTACCCCTATTCCAGTAGAATATGAGTAAAAAAGAGAATCATTCAAAATTAATTTTTTTTTTTGTTTATCCAAAGAACAAACAATGAACATACCTTATTTCAACAAGCTCTGCATCAGTCAATGATATAGATTCAATATTACGTTCATGGACATTTTCTTCGGTAGTCATTTCTTATAATTTTTTATTATTTTGCTTTTATCAAAAAATTTAAGAATAAAAAAAGAGCTGAAATTAAAAACGCCCAACTTTATGCATTTCATATAAATATTAGATTAGCCTATTAACATAAATGGATTGACATAAATGGATATATTTTATTTAATGGTAATTTTTTTTGATAACGATAATATAAAAATGAAAAATTTATTAACAAAATTTCAAAATTTTGATTCTTTTTTGATAAATAATAATACAGAAAGTATAGATAATATGTTAGTTAAATTTGTTGACATATGAATTCGTGCGTTAATATAGTAAGCGTTAAGGAAATACAGTACAACATTTTTTTGTGAACAAGAAATTCAGGAGGAACGAAAAGTCCTACGAGTATATATAGACATATTTTTGGGATGGTGGAAGAGGAGGGCTTGGCAAAGTTTTTTAAACAAATTTTATTGAAATTTAAGCACGTTTTTGGTTATAATAAACATTATAAGATTTTTTATCAAACAAATAGCATTAAATATTCATTGAAGTAAATATTCTATTTTTTCATCAGACGAAAAAATAGTATTTGGTAATTCGGGCCGACTAATTTTGCCGAAACGACAAATCACGTGGAATAAAAAAAGTGTTTTTTTTTTGCATATGTAGGATTACAAAGTAGCCCTGATGTCAATATTAAGACCCTTAAGGTCGTGGCTAGACTCAAAAAGAAGGTAGATTATAGAGCGGTAAGTAAATTATTTTTCAGATTATAGAGTGGTATTCGGATTATAAAGTGTATTCAGAATATAGAATGATATTCAGATCATAGAATGTTATTTAGATTATAAAATAGTACTATAATCTAGTCTAAGTGATATATTACCCTATAATATAATTATATTATAGGGTTTTATACCGCTAATACATCAAAGATGAACTGAAATCTACTTTAAAACTATTATTCTAGGCGATTTTAATACATTTGATACATATTAATCATAAGTTATAATAGTTTCTTTTTTTATTAGCAAATGGATTTTTATAAAATCTGCCTAACTCTTAACTTTACCAAATTTATGCGTTTAAACTTAAACAAATCTATCAAATATGAAAACTTGAAAGATGAGATTACAAATAGTTTAATTAAAGAATTCAGATGACAAACTTAATTACAAATAATATGTAGAGATTATGTCAGACTAATAAAGATACAAAGAGGCTAAAAGATATAAGTTTTAATTAATTTCTTTATTAATATTGAAACTTATTTTTCTAATTCATAAAAGAGTTAATTTACAACATAAATAAAAGATTATCTATTTATACAAAATTTCTTTTATCACAACTAACTATTTATTATGCTATAAACTAATCAATTTGGTAAATAAAATATAAGTAAAATAAATATACTAAAGATAATAAATATACATAAAATAATAAAAATCTATGATATAATAAAAATAATAATAAAAAATAGAATATTAAGAATAAATATAACATCAAATATTTTTAGATTTTGTTAATTTGTAAAATTAGAATTATCATCAGTATTTGAAAGATCTCAGAATTATGTAGTTTTTCTATATTTTCAGAATTCGCAGAATTCTTAGTATTTTTAAAATTCTAGATTAAGAGATTGTTATACTACATCATTCACATGATTTCATTATTATTAGTCAATTGCTCTGTTGACAATATGTATCAATAATATTTTATTATTAAAAATGAAATTATATAATTAGTAAATGAAAAATATTAAAATTTAGTTTTAATAGAACTTGCTGAATATGTTAAAAAATCAAAAGAATTTGCATCTAATTACTTATAAGAAGATGTAATTCAAAAATCTATTAATTAGTAAAATTTAATAAAAGGAAGATATCTGATTCTTAGTGATATTATTATTTAGATAATTTTAATTTTAATAACTTCTGCAGCTAGTGAAAAAAATTGTTTTACCTTTAGACTATGTTATTATAGAATATAAAAATAGATATAAACTATCTGATTCTATAGATATAAATATAAAATTTTATATCTAGGATATTTAAAATAAATGGATTGATTTTTAGGAAAATCAGGTTCTGAGAATTTTTTAGCAAAATTGAAATTTTTATTGCATTTTAGTTTTTGATGTTATTAGATTAAAATATATTAAGCTATTAGTTTTAATCAAAAATTTTTTGAAAATCTGATTTTTCTAGAAATTTTTTTAAATTAATTATTTTCATTGGCTGATCAACAGTATTATTATATGATATTAAGCCAATTAAGTTTAAAAAATATGTTATATAGAATTATATATATTAATATGCTAATAGTATATTTCTTTTTTTAAAATGTTTAAATTATATATATATTAATCTTATGATAGATTTTACTAATTTATTTTTTAGAGCATATATAATAAATAATTCTATAATATAAATAGTAAATTATTAGAAATTTTTTTTTTATTTAATAAATACTAATTTACTTTTAGCTCAGATTTTTTAAACCTTGATTTAATCTAAGATAAATTTATGAAAAGTGAAAATTTAATTTTATTTACCTTATTTATATAATAAAATAACTTTTTTAAATTTTAAATATAATAGTAAATCAGATTCTATAAGCCTTTGATTATTTTGAGATAAGTCTTACAAATAAAAATTTTATTAAATTTTTTTTTTAAAAAAAAATTAAATAACTAACTAACAATTATGCTTATCTTTTTATAATTATTTTTTAGAATCTAATTAACTACAAATTATGTTTATCTTCTTTTTAATATAATAATCTTTTAAACCTTAAATCGTTTAGAGATAAGTTTTACAAAAAAAATTTATTAATCTTTTTTAAGAAAAAATCAAATAATTAACTATAATTATTTACTTTTTTGTAGTTATTCTTTAATATAATAATTTTTCAAGTCTTAGATCTATTCATAAAAGTATAGTAAATATATAATAGTTATCAAAAAAAATGCAAATAATCACTTTTTAAGTTTAAAAGTTTATAACTTATTAACTATAAATGCTAGAATTATAATTTTATATATTTTTTGATTTTGAAGATTATTTTATATAAAAAAATTTTTTTATTAAGAATATCAATTTATATAAATTAATAATTATATAAAATTGATATTTTAATTAAAAATTTTTCTATATAAAATAATCTTCAAAATCTAAGGATTAAAAAATATATAAAATTATAATTTTAATATTTATAATTAATAAATTATAAAAAATGATCACTTATATTTCTTTTAGTAATTACTATACTTATATTATCATATCAATCATTATGCTAATTATATATAATTGAATTATTACATTATAAAATTAGCTGATCTTAAGTTTAAAGCTTTGAGTGACATAGTATATAATCAAGTAAACTTTATAAATTAAAAAGTTTGATATTTTAGATTATGTATAATATATTTTTAAAACAGTAAATCAAAATTAAGTATATTACATAAGTTAGCTTAAAGCTAAATAATTAATTTAATAAATAACATAATAAATTAATTATTTTAAACTTTAAAGGTTTAGGTAAACTATATATGAAAAAAATAAACTATGCTAACTATTATATTTATATTTTAAATTATGTAAAAAATATTTAAATGTATTATAATAAAATTTTAAATAATATAAAAGTTAACTTTAAAACAACTATTTAAATATTTTAAAATTTTTAATTATTTAGATTCTAAAATTTGAACAAAGCTATATATATAAGAATAAAATATGCTAACTATTATTTTATCTATTTTAGATTATATAGAATATAATATAAAAGTATTATAAAAAATTTTAAACAATATAATAGTTAACTTTAAGATAACTTTTTGAATATTAAATATATAAATCATTTATTTAGCTTTAAAAATTTGAGCAAAACTACATATATATATATAAATTATGCTAATCATAATATTTTTTACTTTAAGTTATATAGAATATAATATAAAATTAAAATTATTATTAGTATTTAAAAAATCAGTAGAATTATGTAGATTCTTCATCTTCTCAGAATTTGTAAAATTCTTAATATTTTATTGAATCAAGAGATCATTATATTATATAATTCACATGATTTCATTCTATTTGAACAATTACTTTACTAATAGTGTAAAAAAAAAAATATTACACTTTTTATATTAAAATACATAAGATTTTATAAATTTTTTTTATTATCTATAAATTAATCAATTAACTTAAACTAATTTAACCTATTAAAATTATAAAAATATAATAATTTTTAAAAAAATAGAAATTAACTTCTTTTTTTTTTTTTTTATTTACATATTAATCATTTAACTTTAAATTGATTTGACTACAGTTATTTAACAATTCTAATTAAAAAATAATAATATTTAAATAAATTAAAAATATATAAATATAATAATTTTTAAATATTAGAAAAAATAAAATTAAACTCTTTTTATTATTAGCTTACAGTTATTTAATCAATTTTGATTAATAAAATAATATAAAATTTTTAAAAGTAAAAATCAAATTTATTAATTATTTTTAATTAAAATTTTAATCAAATTGATTAATTTTTGATCAAATGATAATTTTTAATTATATAATTTTAGTAATATACTCAATTAGATTTTTTTCAGTTTATAGAATTGAAATAACTTATATATATAATCAATTGTAAATTATATATACATTTTAATAAATATTTATATTATATGTTTTAAGAATAAAAAAAACATAAATTGAATTTTATTAATCAACACTGATCAAAATCAAAAAAAATCAGACATGTGAAAATTGGTCTAAAATCAGCCTAAAATTAGCAAATTATCAAAAATTAGCCTAGTCGATTGGTATATTAAAATTTGACCTATCTTATTTATAATTGATTAACGTTTTATTGAAATGATTGTATTATTCCTTAAATACGATAGGTATTATCATACCTAAGGTATGATAGTTTTATTATTTCTAAGAAATAATGTATTTATCATACTTTAGGTATGACAATTTTATCATTCTTAAGAAATGATACATTTATTGTTC